CCCTAGGCCACAGCACCAGGCGCACGCGGAGCTGAAGGACAGGGACAGGCTCGGGCCCACGGACACAGGACACGGACGCACGCGGGACTGGGTCAGGGGACAGACACCCAAGGACACCGCCCAGACCCGGGCCAGAGACGCCACACACGCGGGCGGAGACTCCGGAGAGGCACACAAGATGCAGAGACCGGGACCTCGGGTGGACGCAGACCCGCCTGGCTTGGCACTCCACTCCCCGGGGAGCCGGCCGCCGCGGGCCCATGGCGGGGGACACAGGGACAGCCAGCCCCAGGGCTCAGAGCCGAGCGGGTGCCTACACTGTGCTGTGCTTCTGGGCGCCTCTGTGTTTTCCACCTGCCCACCGTGAGTGTGAGCGTGAGCCTGAGTGCTCCCTCCCCACCACCCCGTCACCTTCTGTGACAGGAGCACCCAGCCTCAGCGCTGTGCGGCCACCCGTCAAAGGGGCAGAGACAGGGCTGGAACCCAGATCTGTGCACCCCTTTGAGACACACCGAGGGCATCCCTGCCACACCTGGGCCCCAGGAGCATCGTTCCCTCACAGCCTGGGCCACCCTCCCTGGCACCCAAGCAGCCCAACAGCTCCCACGGAGCTGCCTCCTTCCCAGCACTGGGAGGGTGCTTCCCAGGCCATGAGGGTGACCCCTGAGCCGAGTCACCAGCCTCGAAGCCTTGGGGTCATTCTTCCTGCACAGGCTCTACCCCCATATCCCAGACCCTGCTGGGAGCATCCATCTCCAAGGATGGGGACCTGGTTGCTAGGCGACGAGCAGCAGCGTTGCTAGGATACCTGGCAAATCAGGAGAGGACAGAGCAAGCAGGCGCCCTAGGACTCAGCATCCCAGGCCGTCCCCCAGGACTTACCTCTGCATCTTCACCGCAGCCGACTCAGTGACACGTGTGCAGACACGGGGCACATCCAGAGAAACACTCACGCGGACACACAGGCTCACATGCCTGCAAACAAACACGAAGATCCCCCCCCAGACACACGAATTAACACACAAGCACAGGCTGGTGCTCAGACACGCACAGACGCACACAGGTGAGCTCACACCACGTGCATTCAAGTCCCGCGCGCGGCGGTAGAGAACAAGGCCTGAAGACACCCAGGAGGCACACGTGTGCACCGCACTCTCCAGGTGACGCTGGAAGTGTGACCCTGCTGACCTCAGGAGCCCGGGGAGGCTCGGCTTCCTGTAGCCTCCCTCCCCCTGCCGCGCCCCCAGAGTCTGAGCAGTCCACCCCAGGCCCTGCCTCCCCCCAGGCGCCCACGTCCTCCTCCCTGAAATCTAGCCTCAGGCACAGACGAGGGAAAGGGGGGCCGTGAGGCTGGTCTGGAAAGATGTCCGGGGAGTGCACCCAGGGGACCTGGCACGCAGGACAGCCAGAGGCAGATATCTGGCCGCTCGCGAGGACAGCCTTAGCCAAGGACGGACTTGGTCACCCAGCTAGTGGGTGGCCAGGCTGGGATGCTGACTGCCCACCCTGGGGGACAGTGGCCCAGCCCTGGACCCTACGGGGCTCCCACGAGGAAGCCAGTGGCACAGAGGAAACGGCCCGGGGCCTCTGGTCCCCCCAGCAGCCAGGGTAAGACCCAGGGCTCATGTGTCACTCGTAGGACAGCAGGGGACACGTACTGCCAGGGGCCCAGGGCCAAAGCAGGACACCCTAAACACACATCACATGCGGGCAGCACAGAACACAGGTGACGTGGGACCGTGGGGCCAGGTGCACACAGGTGGTTCTGTGAAAGCTCGCCACCGGCCGGTGGGCAGCCGCAGCGGAGCCTGAGGGTCCCCGTCCAAGCTGGGAGCGGGTGGGGACAGCGCCGGCCACCCAGGCACCTTGGAAACAAGGAGGGGTCCCGCTACTGTTGGGAACAGATCATGTGTTGCCGTCCAGCGGGCCCTCAGCCTGAGACCCCTCAGCGGCACACCCCTCGGGGCCGATCACCAGCTGAGGTGGAGGTAAAGGACGTCCCCAAAGGAATCGCGGTGTGCCAGCAGCCTCGGGGCCCGGGGGGCCGGTCCGGTACGCCACCCGTGGATTTCAGCGCAGGTCACGATCTTGGGGTGGTGAGGTCAAGCCCCACTTCGAGCTGTGTGTGAGTGTGGAGCCTGCTGGCGCCTCCTCTCTCCCTCTGCCCCCCCCATGCACACACGCTCTCTCGTCGCCCCCCCCCAAAAAGAAGCAGATGCACAGGACCTGGGCGGCGGCTGATGGCCCGTTTGCCCTCGGCAAAGCGTCCACAGCAAGGCAGCCGAGCCCGCGGACGGAGGGCACCCTGCTGCCCCCAGGACTCGCCCGTGGGCTGTGAGGGGAAGGAAGTTTCCCACATCACGGGGCACCCAGGACAGCCCGAGCTCGCAGCTCACGGGAACGACGGCACAGAACGCGTGTCCACAAACTGTGCTTACTGCTGCCGGCTGCTCCTGGGAGTCACGGGTGGTCGCGGCAGGCCGTGGGGCCCAGAGGCTCACACCACAAAGTGGGTCGGATGCACCTCACCCTTGCCCTTGAGTCGGAGCCCAGACACCCTGGCCACTCCCCTGCATCTGCACCTGCCTCGCCCCCTGCCCGGCAGGCACGGCCCAGAGGACAGCCGCTCCGGCAGGTGAGTTCCCAGCCATGTGCGCTGTTAACAAGGGGCAGGATGTCAACAATTCTGAGTTTCGACCCAATAATACTTGGTGTGATTTTGACTTTATCATCGTTATATACAGTGACCGGAGAATTGAGTCATATGGGGATTTTCAATATTATGTTAAATTTCGTAGTCATTTAATACAGCTTTTGATTTTATTTTGGGGTTTTCTTTTTTTTTTCTTTTTTTTTTTAAGCAGCTCAGTTTTTATTTTTTATTTTTTATTTTTATTTATTTGTTTATTTATTTATTTATTTATTTATTTATTTATTTATTTATTTATTTATTTATGATAGTCACACACACACAGAGAGAGAGAGAGAGAGAGAGAGAGAAGCAGAGACATAGGCAGAGGGAGAAACAGGCTCCATGCACCAGGGGCCCGACATGGGATTCGATCCCGGATCTCCAGGATCCCACCCTGGGCCAAAGGCAGGCACCAAACCGCTGTGCCCCCAGGGATCCCTTGGGGTTTTATTTTCAGGCTTTGGCGCCAATCAACATGCTTTTAGAACTCTGCATTTCCATGAGCCCTCGAGAACCCCAAGCATCCTGGACACAAGCAGATGGAAGACACCTGCCGCGTGGTCCCCCCCAGGAGCTAGGCCCAGACACACGGGGATGACAATGACGTCCCCCCTGCCTCCCAGGAACCACCTGGTGTGGGGAGAAGCTGGAAGAAGTTACTTCTAGGAACATGAGCTGTATGAGCAGCTCTCCGAGGATCGGGGAGGAGGAGAGTCCTACAAAAACAGAGGGAAAGTTATAAGCCTGTTCTCACAGGAGAGTATGCCCCCACTCCCCCCATAAAACCCACTCCACTGCCAGGGGCCAGCAGGAAATTTCCCTTCCCTGCTGTCCCAGACCTAGGAAGCTGAGAGGAGAGAGCCCAGATACCTGTCTCCCAGAACCCACCAGGGTGGGAGCACAGAGTTGAGCCAGAAGCAGCCCCTGCCTGGGCCGTACCTATCCAGGAGGCCTACCTGGAGAAGGTGGCCTGCTAGGTCAGTCTCCCTAAGCCCTCACTGCTTCTGGATCCCAGAGATCTTTGTCTTCAACAAGCCCCAAGTTTGGCGCTGAATCCCAAGGCCCAGGCCACATCCCAAAGGCCCATGCTGGGCAGGAAGGGGCAAAGGCTGGGGGGCTGGAAGGATGGACAGTCGTTCTATGGAGCTTGGGGCTGGTGAGGCCCTGGGATACAGGGATATGACGTCATAGTTGACCTTTTCACCAGGAAACCAGAGCAAACTTCCAAAAACAACGTGAGCAATCAACAACCTCCTGCACAAATCCCAGAACTTCAGCTGACGCCCCCCCCCCCAAAGCCGGGACAGTTGCCCCCTCAGGGGCGCAGGCCCCAAACTCCCAAGAAGGCCCCACTGCCCTCGGCACACATCCATGAGTGAAGGGGACAGTTGCCTCGGCACGGTGGGGGTCACCGCACGTTGGCAAATTATGGACTCAACGCACTAATGAAAACGAGTGCGAGCATGTGAATTCGTGGATTCTAGAACAAACTGACCAGTGCATGACTGAGTTACAGAATAAACTGAGAAGTAGATTGGTTATAAAGTAACATGAAATTAACAAATACACAAATAGGTCCCAAAATCGAGGTGCCAGGACTCAGGAACCCAGAAATATGGGGTTCGGCAAAACGTGGCTCTGGGACCTTGTGGGACCCAGACTTGCACTGGAAGAGCTGAGGGGTCCTGAGTGCTGCCCCAGTTTCCATTTCCTCGGAACAACACCTGCTGGGGGAACCCTTCTGGGTCACGTAATGGGGGGGACCCTCTGCCCCAAAAACCTCTCCAGTCCGGACCCCAGAAGAGCATCTTTGGGGCTCCCCAGGAAGGAAAGAAAGGGCCCCCGGGTTGGGAGAGCCGGCAGGCACCTCCTCCAGCCTGGAAGGGGCAGGGACAGCTCCGGCATTTCGCCCCGGGCCGCGGGCGCGCTACGAGCTCCCGGACGCTGGCCCCGCCCCCGGACGCTGGCCACGCCCACCCGGACACTGACCCCGCCCCTCTCGGATAGTGGCCCCCGCCCACCCAGACACTGGCTCCGCCCCTAAGACGCTGGCCCGCCCCTCTCGGACACTGGCTCCGCCCCTCAGACGCTGACCCCGCCCTCCAGGCAGCTGGCTCCGCCCACTCCCGCCCCAATGGACGGCCCCGCCCCGCCGGGAGGGAGGGGCAGGACTCCTGGTTGCCAGGCAACCGCGTCAACAAGCCCCAGCGAGTCGGGGCTGCGTGCGGGGCTGGGACCCTAGAAAAGGGAGCGCACGGGGTACGCGGAAGGGGCAGGGGCCTGGCTGAGCTGGGCCGGGGCGGGGAGGATGGCGCCTCGGGGCGGCTCTGGGCCCGAGGCGCTGTGGGCTGAGCCAGGACCCGCGGGCATCTCCCCCGCCGCTGCGGGCCCGGCGGGGCTCTGCGCTCCGCTCCTCGGCGGAGGCCAGCAGGGGCCAGGCCGGGAGGTCCCGCGGGCCGCCCACTCTGCGGCAGCCTCCCCGCACACCCCGGGCCCGCCCCGCCCACGGCCCAGCCGCTCGGTCTCCGGTCTCCGGTCTCCGGGGCTAGGCCAGGGCTGCGCAGAAGCAGAGGGGAGGAGAGGAGAGCAGCCCTGACCTTGCGGGGGGTCAGCGAGGGGCGACCGCAGACACGGGGCTGGGCACACGCAGGGTCCCGGGACAGTGGGGAGGGAGTCCCAAGCCACACCCGGGTCAGTGCAACACGGTCCCCACCCCTGGGTAGGGCCAGAGGTCAGCTCCCGGCTCTCGGCTCTCGGCGTCGGCCCGTGCGCAGAAAAGGAATTCCCTGAAACTACTGGAGCAGAGGCTCCTGGCGACCGCAGGGTAACTAGGACACGCGCCAGGGCCCGGGGTGCGGGGTGCGGGCTGCGGGGCTGCGGAGGTCGCGGTCTCGGGCGGTGAGGCCGACGGGCCCCCGCCAGCCCGGGTTTGCTTAAGGCTCAGCCTGTGCCCCCCGCCCCCCAGCCCGTGCCACGCTCCTCCAATAAATAAATAAATCTGGGAGAAGAGGAAAGGAAAGGCGCGGAGGCTGCGGGCGCCGGGCGGGGGGGCCGCGGGTGCCCAGGGAGACCCATCTTCCCCGCAGGGCCCAGATGCCGGCGCCAGCGGCCAAGGGGGCGCGACGCGGGGGCCCGCGGGGGCCCAGGGAAGGGACGTCCTCGGAGGAGCGCGCCAAGCGGCTGCCCGCGGCGAAGCCCCCCGGGCCGGGCGCGGCCCCGTCGCCGGAGGGGCGGGCGGCCGTGCCCCACCCGCGCGCCTGGGGGCGGCCCCTCGAGCTGCCCGCGGTGCGCCAGGACCTGCTGCTCGGCGTCCTCAAGGCGGCCGAGGCGCGAGGCCGGATCCGCGCCCTGCGGCTGCGCTACATCCGCCTGCGGGTGAGGCCGGCGGCGGGAGGGGCGGGGAGGGCGGCAGGGGGGCGGCGGGAGGGTTAGGGGGTGGGGGTTGGGGGGGCGGCAGGGGGGCGGCGGGAGGGTTAGAGAGGGCAGGGGGCGGCGGGGACCGGCCGGCCGGGCCGGAGGAAAGGACAGGACAGCGCGGGGGTGGGGCGGCCGGAGGGCCGGGCTGCAGGGGGCGGGGGGGGGGGCGGGCGCAGAGACAGCGGCCCCCACCCTGCCCCTGCAGGCCGAGGCCATCTCGCTCCTCGTCCAGCAGCAGGAGTCCGCGCGCGCCGCCATCCGGCTGGAGCTGTTCCTGCCGCCGCAGCTGAAGCCCACGCGGATCCCCGACCCCCTGGACCGCCGGGAGGTGCGCGCAGGCCCGGGCGGGGCGGAGAGGGGGGTCCCCGCCTCCGCCCGTCATCTGGCCCCGCCCATCCCACCCGCAGAGGAGGCGCGTGGAGACCATCCTGGAGGAGAAAGCCGAGGGCAGCATCTTCCCACGCTGACCGCGCCCCCACGGGGCCGGCGCCCCCACGCTCCCGCATAAAGAGCTCATTGTCCAAGCCCCCTCGGCGTTGTGCTGCCTCGCTCCACGTTCCCAGGAGGGAAGGGGAGAGGATGGATCTGCTGCCTCCCCACATCCACATCCCATGTCACAGAGTGGGGGACGATGCACAGGTGTCAGACTCACGGAGGACGCCCCCACCTACTGCCCTGGGGCCTATGAGATCCCCCAGGAGGGAGAGTCTCGCTGGGCAACCGTCACAACCCCAGCAGTTAGGGCGACCTCAGGGTGAGAGTGGGGCCCAAGTGGGACCCCAGATTGTCGGTCATTTCATCAGGGGTCCCAGAGAAGGGTGACAGACTGGGCAGGACGAGTGACCGCACAGCCTCTGTGGACAGCTGTGCCCACGAGGCCCTCTAAGGACAGCAACTGGGGCAGAAAGGGAGACCCTGTCAGGAAGGCGCCGACGTCTCCAGACAGAAAAGCACCTTTTCATCCCGAGTGACCCCGTCAGCTCTGCTCGATCCCCCACACACGTGCACACACACACAAGGGAAGCAGCCTGGTCCCACTCTGACCAGTCCACGTCCTGCAGACCCTCTGAACTCAAGGCTCTCCCAACCTTCTGGACAGATCTTCCCGTGGGTACTTACTCTTCCCTCTGACATGAGCGCTTTGCAGAGCCTAGAACCGGGCCACGTCTCCCCTTCTCTTCCCTCCTAGTCCCTAGGCAGGCGGCAGACATGGGGGCCGCAGAGGTGGGGGCGGCAGGGGGGCTATAGGGATGCAGACAAGGCCCCACCCCTGCCGGGGAGGCCTGTGAGTGGTCCTCCGTCAGTCCTTCTCCCTGTGTACCCCGCATCCTTCTGTGCCATCGCTGTCCTTGGCCTGGATGCAATCCCAGAACCATGTGTGGAGCTGGTGTCTGTGGCAGCTCGGGGGGGGGGGGGGGACAGTGGGGGGGACACAGAGCTGGGGAAGGAGGAACAGAGGGAGAACAGGTGGCCTGGGCTGAGGACAGGCGGGCGGGGAAGGAGACGCTTCCTGCCGTCCAGGAGTGGAGGCCAGGACGACAGGCAGCCCTGACCCCCCGGGACCCAGCACTGTGTCCTGGGGACGTGTTGACCACCTCATTCATCTGTTTGGTAAACGCACATCTCGTTTCATCACTTCTCTGAGTCTCCATTTCTCTCTTTAAAATAGAGACCTCAGGGTCTCACCTGGGCTGGGAGTGAGCAGAGAGGGCCCCATACGGGTGTGGTCACTCCGCATCAGGCAAGAACACAAAGCCCCGCGGAGGAGCCCAGCAAGAGGGTGGCCTCACGGGCAGCTGAGCAGCGGGCACTGAGCTGGCACGAGGGAAGGCGCCCAGCTCTGCAAAGAAGGCCAGGGAAGGTGGCTAAGGACATTTCTGTGGGGCCCAGGGGAGGCCTCTGCTCCGGGAGACAGAGGGAGCAAGTGGATTCCCGGGGCTGGACTCACGCTCACGTCCCGGACAGAGGGTCCTGGGTTCAAGTCCCGGACCATTACCTGCTGCATGGCTTTGACCAAGACTCTGCCCAGCCTGTCTGGATTCCTCCTGTGGACCGGGGGTATGCTCTGTGCAGGGACAGACTCCCCAGAGAAGCTGCAGGAGATCCAGAAGGGCTGGGGCGAGGGGAGCGGAGTGCAGGGGAGTGGCCGGTGACTGTACAGTGTCTGGAGGGCGGGGAGGGCGGAGGGAGTGCACAATGAACAGCACGAGGGGGAGAGGTGTGCCGACCTCCCCCCACCATCCGCTGCCCCCCACATTTCTCAGGAGGTGGGTGGAGACACCACACCAGTCACTGTGGGATCAGACTGGCTGTGTGACAGATGCTGGCCTGTCTCTGAGGACCTGCCTCCCCCGACGGTGACCTAGGCTAAGTAAGAAGCAGCCACCTCCGGCTGGACAGGCTTCCAGCCTCTGCCCGGGCCAGGCCAGCCTGTCCACTCGGCTGCCAATTAGCTCTGCGGGCGTGCTGGCCAGGGTCCCTGGGCACACACATGAGGGGGCTTCCCGGCCCCCAGAGGCCCGTCACCTCCCTGACCGCGACGAATGCTCCCTTCGGGCTTGGCCTACAATCTCCCGGTGCCCCTGCCCCACAGCGCCGCCAGCACCATCCTCCCGCTCTGATCATGCATCCCAGATCCCAGCACCCCAACACCCCGGCATCCCAGCACCCCAGCATCTCAGCACCCCAGCACCATGGCACCCCAGCATCCTGGCACCCCACACCCCAGCATCCCAACACCCGGGCATCCCAGCACCCCAGCACTCCAGCATCCTGGCACCCCAGCACCCCAGCACCAGACATACCAGAATTCTGGCATCCGGCATCCCAGCATCCCAGTACCTCAGCATCACAGCACCCTGGCATCCCAGCACCCCAGCATCTCAGCACTCCAGCATCCCAGTACCTTGGCATCCCAGCACCCCACCCAGCACCCCAGCATCCCAGCAACCCGGCATCCCAGCATCCCGGCACCCCAGCATCCCAGCACCGCGGCATCCCAGCACCCCGGCACCCCAGCACCCCGGCATCATAGCACCCCGGCATCCCGGCAACCCAGCATCTCAGCATCCCGCAATCCCAGCATCTGGCATCCCAGCACCCCAGCATCCCAGCATCCCAGGTCCCCAGCACCCCAGCATCCTGGTACCCCAGCATCCCACCACCCTGGCACCCCAGCATCCCAGAAACCTGGCATCTGGCATCCCAGCACCCCTGTATCCCAGCACCGCAGCATCCCACCATCCCGGAATCCCAGCACCCCCGCATCCCGGCACCCCAGCACCCCAGCATCCCACTGCCCTGGCACCCCAGCATCCCAGCACCCTGGCATCCCGGCGCCCCAGCATCCCACCACCCTAGCACTCCAGCACCCCGGCATCCTGGCACCCCGGCACCCCGACATCCCAGCATCCCAGCACCCCGGCACCGCATCATCCCAGCATCCCGACATCCCAGCATCCCAGCACCCTGGCATCCCAGGACCCCGGCATCCCAGCACCCCGGCATCCCAGCATCCAGGCACCCCAGGATCCCAGCACCCCATCACCCTAGCATCCCAGCACCCCAGCGTCCCAGCACCCCGGCATCCCAGCACCCCAGCATCCCACACCCTGGCAACCCAGCATCCCAGAAACCTGGCATCCGGCATCCCGGCACCCCAGCATCCCAGCGTCCCGGCACCCCAGCATCCCAGCACCCCGGCATCCCAGCGTCCCAGCACCCCGGCATCCCAGCACCCAGCATCCCACACCCTGGCAACCCGCATCCAGAAACCTGGCATCCGGCATCCCGGCACCCCAGCATCTCAGCGTCCCGGCACCCCAGCATCCCGCACCCCGGCATCCCAGCGTCCCGCACCCAGCATCCAGCCCCAGCATCCAGCGTCCCGGCACCCAGCATCCAGCACCCGCATCCAGCGTCCAGCACCCGGCTCCAGCACCCGCATCCCACCCTGGCAACCCAGCATCCCAGAAACCTGGCATCCGGCATCCCGGCACCCCAGCATCCCAGCACCCCAGCACCCAGCATCCAGCACCCGGCATCCAGCACCCAGCATCCCACCCTGGCAACCCAGCATCCCGAAACTGCATCCGGCATCCGGCACCCCAGCATCCCGCCCCAGCACCCCAGCATCCCACCCGCATCCGCACCCAGCATCCCACCCTGGCAACCCAGCATCCCAGAACTGCATCGGCATCCCGGCACCCCAGCATCCAGCGTCCGGCACCCAGCATCCAGCACCCGGCATCCCACGTCCAGCCCCAGCATCCCACCCAGCATCCCACCCTGGCAACCCAGCATCCCAGAAACCTGGCATCCGGCATCCCGGCACCCCAGCATCCCAGCGTCCCGGCACCCCAGCATCCCAGCACCCCAGCATCCCAGCGTCCGGCACCCCAGCATCCAGCACCCCGGCATCCAGCGTCCAGCACCCGGCATCCCAGCACCCAGCATCCCACACCCTGGCAACCCAGCATCCCAGAAACCTGGCATCCGGCATCCCGGCACCCCAGCATCTCAGCGTCCCGGCACCCCAGCATCCCAGCACCCGGCATCCCAGCCCCAGCACCCGGCATCCCAGCACCCCAGCATCCCACACCCTGGCAACCAGCATCCAGAAACCTGGCATCCGGCATCCGGCACCCCAGCATCCCAGCGTCCCGGCACCCCGCATCCCGCACCCCGGCATCCAGCACCCGGCACCCCGGCATCCCCACCTGGCAACCCAGCATCCCAGAACCTGGCATCCGGCACCCCAGCATCCCGGCACCCCGGCACCCCCCCCCCCCCCCCCCCGGCGCACCTCCAGCCCAGGCTCCCGCGGTCCGTGCGCGCAGCCGGGCCCACCTCTGGGGCACCCATCAGCGCCGAGCGAGGCGCGTGGGAGGTCGGCCCTCCGCGTGGGGGTCCCGGAGCGCTGTGCTCAGTGACGGGGTCCGCGGCGGGGCCTGGGCGGGGGGCGCGGGGGCGGGGGCGGCCGGGCCCCTCGACACGGGCCGGGGCGCGCCGACCACCGGGGCCGGGGGAGGGCGGCGCGGGCCCCCGCGGGAGCGCCCGGGGCTGCAGGTGCGGGACCCGCCTCCTCGGGAGGCGGCGGAGCCCCGGGCGGGGGCGGGGCGGGGGTGCGCGGGGCGGGGCGGGCCGGACGCCTCCCCGCGCGAGGAAGTCCCGGCCCCGCGCTTTGGGGAAGTGCGGCCCGCGCCTGCGCACTGCGGCCCGCGCCCCCTCCCCGACCGGCGGCCGGACCTGTGCGCGGGGCTGCGGCGGCGGCGGCGGCGGCGGCGGCGGCGGGGCCGGGAGCGCGGCCGGTGAGTGCGCGCGGGGGACGGCGGCCTGCGGGGGCTGGAGCCCGGACCGCGCCGCGGGGACCGCGGGCCCACGTGGACCCGGGCGGCGGCGGGAGCGGAGCCGGTGCCCCGCGCGGGGGAGGGGGCGCCGCCACCGGTTCCCCTTTCTGCAGCTCGGAGCCCGGGGAAGTGGTTGCTCAAGGGGGGGCCGGAAGAGCCCCGGTTTCCGCGCCTCCCGCCCCCGGCCCGGTGGGGAGGGCCCGGCGGGACGCCCTGCGCGCCCCCGCCCCGCGCCTGGCAGCCGCTCGCTCCGGGCCGGCCGGGCTGACCCGGGCTCCCGCCGCCTCCAGACCCCCGCAGGGCCCCCCGCCCGCGGACCCGGGTCGCTGCAGCGCGCCCTTCGGCAGCGGGTGGGGCCCCGCGGGAACCCGGCCCTCCCGCCCGCGCCTCGCCCCTGGGCCGATGGTGAGTGGGGCGCGCGGCCAGGCCCGGGGGGCGTCGGGCCCCAAGTCGGAGCCGCGCCCCCCGCGCAGACCCCGCGGCGGGGACAGGAGGAGGGAGACAGGTCGGGGCGCCGCGGCCCTGGGGCGGGCGAGGGTCCCGGGCGGGCGCAGAGGTCGGGCCCAGGCCGGGGCTGCCCCACCCATCGCTCGGGCGCGGCGGGGCGGGGGGCGGCCGAGGGGAGGCAGGGGCGCCACAAGCAGGGGAAGGAGCCCCTGTCAACCCTGCGCCTGAAGGTTACGGCATTTTTTCCTGGGATTGTCACATTTTCTTATTCTTTTTTTGGACTGGGCGGGCTCAGGGACGTTCTTTTTCCTTCTGTGGAGCAGAGTCGCAGCAGCTCCCAAGGGAGCCTCGGTCCCCAGAGGCCAGGCTCACTGCCCGTCCAGCCTCCCCCATCCCAGACTTGGGGGCCAGAGCCCAAGGGCTGGGAAAGGGGACCGAGTACCTTTCCAGCTGCCAGGCGGAGGGGCAGGAGCCCTGTGCACACCCCGAGCGACCTCAGGAGACAGCGGGCGAACAGGAGACCCCGCCAGCCCCGGGACGGTGTAGGCATCCCCTCCAGGACCCCCAGCACGTGGGCGCCCTCACACCGGGCCCCTCCTCCAGTTCAGAGCAGAGCCTTGGGGTGCCAGGGAGTGCAGTGGGATGGGGCCCTGCCCCCACTCGCAGCGGGTAGGGGTGCGGAGGAGGAAGAGCAGTTCTCTGCCTGGCTACCAGACCTCAGGGGTTGCCACACCCCTTCCCTTCCCTACAAGCTTGACCCCTGAAGGAAAGGCAGGCTGGGGCCCAGTTTGAGGGTCCCCCCTCCACAATTTCAGGGGAAGCAGGCAGCTGGCCAGGGCCCTCAGCCCAGGGGACCCCACACTCTGCCCTAGATCTGGGTCAGGGCAGGGCCTCTGCGTGCCCAGGCCCGGGAGGCAAGGGTGCCCTGAGCGTGCCTGAGTCAGGCCCTGCACCTCTGAGCACGGCTCCCGGCGCCCCCGGCATCCCCGCTGCTCCCTCCTTCCCACCTGCGAGACCCCAGCAGCCAGCAGGCCACGTGGGCCAGGCGGGGGTTGAAAGGCCACAGGCCCAGGGGTGATGTGATAATTACATGAGAAAACGAAGTGAAAGCAAGTCCTGAGCCTGCTGGCCACCGGGACGGGGGTGGGGGCAGGCCTGGGGGGTCACAAAGGCCGTGCGGGGGAGCCGCCGGGCCCTGGGGTCCTCACCCCGGCCAGGGCAGGCAGAGGCAGGTGCTGTGGTGGGAAAGCATTCAGACTGCCCCCGGGGTACTGATCGGTCACCCCGGTGTGGACTCTGGGATCCGCATGGACTCTGGGATCCGTGGTTGGCCTCGGGGATGCGGGGGCTGCTCGGGCTCCTCACCCCCGCTGGGGGCTTCAGGGCCCAGTGCCCCCTGCACGCCTGCACCTTGAAACGTGGGCACAGGCATTGTAAACAATGCCGACCCGCACCCCCTCTGGGGATCCCGCACCTTGACCCTGGGAGCTGGACACCCCGACCCATTGCTGCCCTCCTCCCCACTCCCCTGCCTGACTGGCACCCCAGGCTGCGCTGGCTTCCACCGCCTGGTGGGGCTGGGGGAAGGGAGGCTGGGAGGCCCTGGGTGTGGTAAGGTGCCCGCTGGGGGTTGGGGTGCCAGGGGCAGCGTCTGGGCCTCAGGAGCCCTGCATCCCCACGAGGCGCCTGGCCCTCCTCACCGTGCCCTGCTGCATTCCCCACACCCCCAGACCCTCAAGTCCTGCCCCACACGCAGGCTGCAGGCTGCAGGCTGGGCAGCTGCGACCAGGCTGGAACCCTCCGGGGCCGAGGGCAGATCTGGGCACCTGGGGGGGCAAGCCCTCCCCACCTCGCCCACTCCCTACAGAAAACCCAGAATGGAGGGAGCATTAGGCTGATAGCCCCAGACTCTTGGGGCCCCCCAGGCCCCTTGGGAGGGGCCAGGAGCCGGAAACCAAGAAAGAGGAACCCAGACTTCCGGCTTCCCAGGGACCGAGCAAACGGGGGTGTCCCAGACCTCCTGTGGAGATCTTGTCTGGCCCCTCCTCACCGCCCCTGCCCTTGCTCGCTGTCCCGATGCAGGTGGGGGCAGGGGAGCAGGTCCCTCGGCCCTTGGGCGGAGGGAGAGGCAAGTAGAGACTGTCGTCTCAGGTTCTCAGCGGGAACCCCCACCTCTCTTCTCAGACCCCCAGGCTGTGGTGAGGGTCCCGGAGCCAGCACCACGGAGCCCGGGCGACCTCCTCCACCCACCCATGCCCACCCCGCATGAGGCTGAGAAGCAGGTGCACCACCTTCACCCCTGCCTCTGCCCCCTTGTGGGAACCGGGGCGGGGGGACGAGGAGTTGGGGGACCCTCGACTGCCTGGGAGGCTGGAAGGGTGACACCAGGGGAGTCGGGGGGAGGTGTGCGGGCCCCAGGTTCTGGGCTGGAGCTGAGGAGGCCCCCGTGTCGCCAGCACACAGGGCCAGAGGAGGCAGGCCGGCCCCCCTCGATGTCCAGTCATGACGCGGCCCCCCCGGCTGCCCCCAGCCGCAACCCCTGCTGCTTGTGCTGGTGTTGCTGTTGCAGCTGCTCCTGGTATGTGGGGATGGGGGGGGGGTGTACACACCTGGTACGTGGGGACGGGGCAGGGGAGGGGGTACACACCTGGGGCCCAGCGTCCTGCCCGCAGACCCTCCGGTGCCTTCCCAGGTGTCACCCGAGGGCAGGACGCCTCTGCCGCCCACGGCTCTCACGCAGGGGCTGCCGGGCCTGCTGACCGTGGCCACTGCCCCGACGCCGTGTGGGCCTTCGTGCCCGGCGGCTCCCCCAAGGGCGTGTCGTGCGCACACCTGGCCAGGCCACAGCCTGTGTGCTCAGCCGGAGCTGGCCCCGGGGCCTACGGAGCAAGGAGCCCTTGGGGGACACCGAGCCGGGCCCCGGCCTGGGGGCGAGGGGGAGAGCATCCCGAGCAGCTCCCTAGGGTGGGCCCCGCGGTCACCAGCTCTGTGGCCTGTGGAGGGCTGTCGGGGGTGTGCACGTGCCACAGAGGCCTGGCCCGACTTGGGCGCTGTGGGGACCTAGAGGGGGACCCGCTGAGCCGTGAGCACCCAGGCCTGAGCAGGGACGGGGCCGTGAATCGGGCCTCACAGAGGACTCGGCTGTGGGGTCCAGCGGGTGGGGTAGGAGAGGAACGGAGGCCTGTGTGGGATCTAGGGTTGAGAGGTCGTGACCCCGGGGAGAGACAGGCGCAGGCAGGGCCCGGCCGGGGCTTTCCTGCGGCAGGAGCAGCGCCTCTGGGTGTGGGGGGGGTGGCCAGGGAGACAGAGGAAGGGGTGAAGCCCCGGGGCTGGAGTGCAGCCTGGGTCCCAGGGGTGGGGGTGGGGGCTGCCCGGCTGCGGCCCGGCCCGCGCCCTCACGCCCGGCGTCTGGGCCCGTGCGCGCACACGCGTGGGCCGAGGCCGGGTGCGCCGGGCAGGCCGTGCCACCTTCCGTCTGCACCAGGAACGAGGAGCGGCGGCGCGCGTGGCGAGCCTCCCGGGACAACAAGCTGCAGCCCCTGCCCAGCTGTGAGGCGTGGTAGGTGCGGCCGGCGCGACCCGGGCGGGGCGGGGGCGCGGGCGGGGCGTGGGCCTGACTCCCCGCGGGACTGCCCACAGCGCCACGCCAAGCCCCGAGGAGGTGCGGAGCTGGGCGCAGTCGTTCGACAAGCTGATGCACAGCCCGGCGGGCCGCGGCGTGTTCCGGGAGTTCCTGCGCACGGAGTACAGCGAGGAGAACATGCTCTTCTGGCTGGCGTGCGAGGAGCTCAAGGCCGAGGCCAACCAGCACGTGGTGGACGAGAAGGCCAGGCTCATCTACGAGGACTACGTGTCCATCCTGTCCCCCAAGGAGGTGCACCGCCTTGGGGACCGAGGGTGGGGGGAGGGCGGGACACCCCGGGCCCCTGACCCCGCGTCCTGCCCCACAGGTGAGCCTGGACTCCCGGGTGCGGGAAGGCATCAACAAGAAGATGCAGGAGCCGTCCGCGCACACCTTCGACGACGCGCAGCTGCAGATCTACACGCTCATGCACCGGGACTCCTACCCCCGTTTCCTCAGCTCCCCCACCTACCGCGCCCTGCTGCTCCGGGGGAGCTCCCAGTCCTCCCACGAGGCCTAGGCCGCCCGGCACAGCAGCACCGACACGGACCCCGGCGGGGGGCAAAGACTCGGTGACCCGCACCAGTGTGTGTGTCAGCAGGCGTCCGGCACGCCCATGGGCGCAGCACCCCTGGGGGCAGCCCCGGATGGGAGCCCCCGAGGTCCCGCCGAGGGGCAGGTGTGAGGGCCTCCGGGACGCTGGCTGGCCGAGGGCTCCTGCCGGGGCTCCTGTGCGGGGGCAGCGGTCACGGATCCAGAAGCCTCCCCAGGCAGCCGGGGACCTTGACAGACGCCTTAGATGGGAAGCAGAGCCTCTGTACTGTCGAGCTGTGACGCAAGGACACCCTCCAACTCATGCTGTCTGCACTCAGATCAGACCCAGAACCTCAGAACTAGGCTCAAGGCAACAGGAGCCAGTTTCTTTTTTATATTTTCATTAATTTTAAACCTGGAAACATGTCCTTACTGTATTTTATCAAAAAAAGAAAAAGATGTTTTCATATTTATCTCCATTCCTTCTTCATCCAAAATAGGATCTTATTATTGAAGATATTTTTAAAGCAAAGGTCTCTCCTTTTTTTCCACATTTGGGGGGAGACTCAAGAAAGAACAACCGTCCCAGATCCAGGAGCAGCCCCAGAAGGGGCTTGGCCCCCGTGAGGACGCACAGGGGCGGCCTCCTGGCCTGCTCGAGGCTCGTGCTTGCCACCCATTACCTGAATTTCTGGGAGGTGAAGCAACTCAAAGCTGCAGCGGGTGCGGGGCCCACCCCATCCAGTCCACCGTCAGGCACAGAGTCAGGGTGGGGACAGGTCGCCATGGATGGCTGGGGGCCCCTGATCTACAGGGCCTGGGGAGGTCGTGAGCCCTGGGGTCCCGTGTGCCGAAGGCCACCTCCCCGACCCCGTGTCTGTGCGTGCCCCTGCGTGCGGCCAGTCTGCCCCCAGGGTTCTGGAATCCCAGGGTCCCTCTCAGGGCCAGTGGGCTCTTCCCTCCATCTCTGTTCCATCAGGGCCAAGCCCAAGTGTCACCTGATCCCCAGGAGGAGAGTGGTCCCAGGGAAGGGGGCAGGGCCGGACGTGGGGCTTGGGGGACCCAGCTCACAGCCCAGGACTGCTGGTCCATCAGAGCCAAGGGCCAGGACAGCACGATGGCAAAAAGAAACATTTAATAATTTGGGGAAAAGAAAAAAGGTATACGCCAGGCGGGGGTGCCGGGGGCACAGCCCCGTGGGGTGCTCGGGTGGGCTCAGGGCGGGTCTCGAGAAGCTGTGTCTGTCGACAGGACGCAGGGAAGGCCGCGGCAATGTGCTGGCCACAGCCCGAAGCTTCGCACACATCTCGAGGAGGGCTCAGCAGAACTGCAGCGGACGGATGAGAGGCGTCAACCCAAGACCCCCGGGACCCCCGCGGGCCCGGAGGCAGGGCTGCCCCCCGTTTCACATCACGAAGACCCCACAGGCTGGAGACGCCCACCTACCTTCCAGCGATTTCCACACTCGTTGCAGACAACGAAGGTGGTCATGGGCTCGTCAGAGCTTCGGGTCTGCACCTGTGGGGAGGGCTGCGGTGAGGGGGGGCCACCTGGGCCCCAGGGGCTCAGTCACTTGGAGCAGGTCTTCTCGAGAGTCACAGTGTGGGGAGACCATCCGTATCCTCAGGCAACGCTGGCATTGTAGCCCCTCGACCCCCCGGGGAACCCCACACCTCCTCTCCTCACCGAGGACCTCACCGGGGACCCCGGCACATCTCAAGGTCCACATCCGTGTCCACCTCCACGGGTCTGAGCACAGTCTTGCGGCCACTGCAGGCAGCACACTGCCCCCACCCTCCTGCTTGGGCCCCCCCATGCTGGGCGAGGCCGGCCCCCCACTTATAGCTCCCAGAGCAAAGCACCACCCGAGACACTGCTTCCTGGGGCCCAGGGCTGCGGGGCAAGGGAGGAGGAGCCCGGCGCCACTCACTAGGCGCGTGTGCAGGTGCAGGTGTGGACCCTGCCCCACAGCACCGCGCGCAGGTGCAGGCTCCGGGCGCGTGAGGTCGCTGGGGCGCCCACCTGCGTGTAGGTACAGTTCTTCCTCCTGCACCTCCCGCAGGTGAACAGGTCTGTCTGGGTGCCCCCCGTGCGGGCCATCTGGTGCTCTCGGATGGCTTCCTTGGTCATCGCCTTCCGGATCTCCTTCAGCTCATCGCTGGCCATCTCCTGGGCGAGGAGCGGTGTCCTTACCCGCTGCCCACAGCAGCGGCCCCCATGCCCCTGCAGCAGGACTCACCTCCGATGTCATCACAGCGATCTGCTGGGGGGTTATGACCCCACACAGCACGTTCCGCCGCAGGTCAGGGTTCTTAGCGTCCTTGAGGTTGGAGATGCGGCTCCGCACACGGTTTTTGTACTTCATGTCCGTGTTCCCCACGTCCCGGAAGATGCGTGCAGGTGTTTAAGGACCTATCCGGAGGCCAATACTGCTGCCTTCCACTCACCCCGGGGCCAGCGCAGGAGGCCAGTGAGGGCCTCCTGGTGGGAGCCTGGCAGCTCAGTGTTCCCCCCACACCTGGCAGCGAGTGGAGGGGCTGCAGAGGGAGGGCCCCACCCGACCCAACCCTGGCCGAGGCCCAGCCCCAGGCTCAGAGCCCCGGTGACCCAGGCCCCCCCCGACGGGCAGCATCAGTCCAGAGAGGGCCCTCCTGGTCAAGGGGGGAGCCCACCCGACTGACCCACTGCCTGGCAAGGGCACTGGGGTCGTGGCCATCAGGGGAAGCCGGGCCTGGCTGGCCTCAGACTCCCCCAGAAACCCCCAGACCCCACACCCTGCATAAAGGATATATTCCTCAATCTGGGCCGACAGGCCCTCGCAGTCCGCACCAACGGCCATATGATCATCTGCAAGAAGCAGCCCTGACTAGCTGCCCCCTGACTCCACCGCCGCTTCCAAACTGCCCAGCACCTGAGGCCCCAAAGACCCCTGCCCCCACCTGGCTCAGCTGCAAGGGCTGGGGGAGGAGGTCCCCGAGAACCCTCTGAACTCAGGCCGCTGTGGGCAGGCGGAGTCCAGCCCCCGCGGACTCAGGGTGCAGGGTGGCGGGCAGGGGACTCACGGTCTGTCTGCAGGGCGGCGGTCAGCATCTCGCGGCACTTGTTGCGCACGGCGTCACAGGTGACGGGCACCGGGGGAAACGTGGTGATCCTTGGGGCCGACGGCACCCTGGGCAGCTCTGGCCTCTTGCGGCTGGAGAAAGACGGGCCCGCGCAGGCCACGGGCACCCCCGTGACACGCCGGTCCCCAGAAAGCCAAACCCTGCATCTTCCACCCGGATGCAGCCCATGCTCCTGCCCCGAGGGGACTGCCCAGTGGGCTGGAGGCAGGAACACCCACTGGGCGGGGCGTACCCCCAGACGGGGGCACCACTGGGGCAGCCTCGTCCGCAGGGGCCTCCGCCCTCCAGGCGGCCAGGACCGGGCCATCTCAGGCGAGGCAGGCGGCCCCACCCAGCGTGGATGCCTCCCGACGGGCTGGGCACTCCTGGCAAGCCGCCTGCTGACCAGGCCGCAGGTACCCAGTCCTCCCCTCCCCTCACACCCCTGCATCTCGTGACCCTGTGACCCCCACATGTCGGGGGGAGCAGGGGCCTCCTGGAGGGAACCTCCGCAGCCGGTAGATGAAGCCCTAGCCCAGCACAAGTACACGCCGCGCACGGAGTCGGCCCCTGCTGCCCCGCCACCCCTGCCCACGGCAAAGCAGCCTACGGCCACACCCACCCCGGAGCACCCCGTCTCCATAACTGCCCGCCCGGAGCACCAACGGGGAGAGGGTTCAGCTGCGCGGGACACCAGCTGAGGGGGCTCAGCCAGAGCGGAGCGAGAACCACGCCCAGGAAGTGGAACTGTGGGGTGGCTGTGGGGGCCCCCGGGGCTCTCCGTGCGGCCAGGACCCTCCACCTGCCGAGCAGGAGGGTGCGCACCTGCCCCCCAGACGCGCTACCTGGGATCCTTGGCCTCGGGGGCCTCCTTGGAGGACGATGTGGGCAGAGGCCCAGCCCTCCTCTGCTCCCTGGCTTTGGCATCTGAAGCATCTGCAGGTGCCAGGAAAGGGGGCGCTGGCTAGTGGGGCCGGGCCAGGGAGGGGAGCAGATCTCCACCGGCCCCGGGACCTGGCAGCCGAGCCTTGCACACTGGGGCCCCATCCTCCCTCCTCAGAAGGGCCCAGGACAGCCCCCAGGCCCTTTCCTACCCCCGCACAGGCCACCTGTGAGGACTCCCTGGGGTCTACCGTCCTGGCAGAAAGGACGGCCACCTGCCCAAACTGACCCTGGTGCGGAGCCCCGAGTGACAGCCCCCCCAGAGGCTGCTCTTGAAACCCGAACAAAGCCCAGGTGCGGTCACTCCCCAGCTGGGCCTTGGGGGTCACAGCGAGCGGCCGTCTGCTGAGCACGTCCCCCACGAGGCTCCTGAAAACCTGGCCCGTGCTGGGGACCGTCCCACAGGAGGCGAAGCAGCCCCCACGTGGCCAGAATAAACACGCTTGTGCACACGTGGGCTGATGGCCACCCCGACTAGAGCCCCACGACAAATACCCCAAGGGCTTGGACGGAGCCAGGAAGGCGCAGGAAGGCGCAGGGAGGGAGGGGGCCCCCCGGGGCCCCAAGGTGGGCCTGCCTGCAGCCGGCCGTGTCCCCTTCTCCCGCCGCACCCCTCGGCCTCAGCAGGGCCTCCTCACCTGCGCCAGCTCCCTCCAGGCCCCAGCCACCCTGCTACTACCTTCAACTTCCTTTTCTCCTGCTCCCGGTGGGTCCCCTCTGCTCCCAGCCCCCCGCCTTCCCGGACCAGCTTGGGGCCCGGCGGCCCGGGCGTGGGGACGGCACCGCCAGCACCAGCACGCTGCTGACTGGCGAGGGCCAGTGCTCCCCGGATGCCCTGCCCGGGCGTCAGCCCCGCCGCCGGCCCGCACCCAGGAGCTTCTTCCAGGACTTGATGAGCGACTTGGCCAGGGCGATGACCTCCTCGTCGGAGCTCTGCTTCCGCAGGGCGTTGACAGACATGCCGACACGTGTGGACTGCAAGGCAAGCGCCGGGGCTGGGGAGGCAGCCAGACCCTCCGAGGCTCCCGCGCGGCAGGGGCGGGCCCAGCTCTCAAGGTGCACACCCCCACCGGGGGCTGCTGCCCCACGTGCAACCCAGGAGCCTCGGCAAGAGGGGGAGCCATGCTCAGATGCCCCCCGTCTTCCGGGGCAACCAGGGCGGGGGCCTCCTCCAGGACACACAGGCCCTGCCAGGCGCCAGGAGCCGTCCGGGCAGGAGGCGCGCAGGGCCCTACCTGCAGCAGGTGCAGCGTGACCGGCATGGCCTTCAGCTCCCGCAGCAGGTCCATGGCTCCCTCCTGGAAGAAGGGGGACCTTCATAAAGGGGTTCGAGGTCTCGGGGTGCACTGCCACCTCCTCCTACCCACGAGGGCGGGGGGCACCGGAAGTAACAGATTGGAGACCCACCCGGGGTCAGCTGCGCGGGGACGGCCAGCAGCTCTGCAAACTCAGCGCCAGCGCCTGGTCACTGACCAAACCACGGCTGCAGCAAACAGCTCCAAGGCCAGCAGCCCCGCCCGCGGGAGGACAGCACCCAGGTTGGGGGGGGCAGGGGAGGCCAGGGGTGCTCACTGCCCACTCCAGGCCCACACCCCTCGTGGGCCGCGCAGCCCCTCTTGAAGTACCTCATCACCGGCTGACGGGGGCCAACCCGGGCAAGGTCAGCGACCCCGGCTGAGGCCAAACACCTCCCCCATCACACACACACCCACCCACACCCAGACTGAAGTCCCAGCAATCTCTCCAGGCCAGCCACCTCCCCCACCTTGCCCCTGCCCACCCAACACCTGTTTCTTTAGAGCCCTCCCCACATCAAGGCCCTGCACAAACGGGCTGCTCTCTCCACTCCGGGCTCAGCTTTAGGTTCCTCAACTGTGCCAAGCTGCTTGCCCCAGGACCCTTGTACCTGCTGCTCCCACTGCCAGGGAAATGCCTCCCAAATATCTATAGTTCCGTATCCTCCCTCTTCCTAAATTTTATTCAGATGACACCTTGGTGAGGCCCCTCCTGACCTCATCCTCCCCCACTTTGCTTTCTTCCACAGATGCTTCACTTTTTAACATGCTGGTGTGTTTTAACGTGTGGCTCTTTCCCTTGACATGAGAGGCAGGAATCACGTGGCCCGGCCATCCGAGGTGGTGGGACCCTCGTGCCGGGCAGCCCAGGCCGCATCCCCTGCCGTCTACATGGCGCCCCTGCTCTGCAGCCCCCTCCACATCCCCCCCCCACCTAGGAACGTGCAGAGTCCAGCCCTACGGTGATCTCCTCAGGTAGGAGAGGGGGGCGTCCGAGCCAAGGTCACGGCGCTGCTCACTGATGAGCTTCCTGTGGCTCCAAACCAGAGGCACAAACCCAGCTCCCGACTTCCCCATCACCGGTCCCCAGGCCTCCGGGAGCCTCACGGGCACCAGGCACCTTCCTGGCCCGCGGGGCCGTCAACTCCTGCGCCTCGGTCTCCACGGTGCTTCCACCTAGCCCCACCCAGACCTCTGTGGGTTCCGTGGCCCATCTCTGTCCCCACCTGGGGGGTGTTGTCTCCTTCAAGACAGGAAGCAGCTTCTTTCCTTGGTCATCTCTGCAAACAGCTAGACTGTCCCCACCCCCTAGCTCCCCGCACGCAGCCCAGGGCCTCCCAGGGACACGATGCCCGTGTGGGGAGGAGGCTGCTGCTTGCTGGATGAGTGGATGAGTGGGAGCCGGCCCCGTTTCTGGCCCCAGCGTAGGCCCCTGTCCAAAACCTGGTCAACAAGGACCCCAGGACAAGTCCCTTAACACAAAAGTGTGTCCAAAGCGGCAGAGCAAGCGGACGGTCTGCGGTGGCTGCGCGTGACCGAGCCGCCTCCTCCACCCTGCTACTCGCTCACAGTCCCGGGGAAGAGCGGGTTGTGTGTGTGGAGCCTGTCGGGGAGCCAGCCAGGGCCCCCCAGCACCCTGAGGGCAGGTCCCGCCCACCAAGGATGCCTCCACGGGAGGGCACGCAGGCTGTCAGGGCGGGTCTGGAGCTCAAGAGGGGCCGAAGTTGGAACCCCAACCCCCAGCCCGCAGCACTGCCTCCTCCAGCCCCCCCGGCCCCAGCCCCCCGCGGGGCCAGGGGCTCCGTCACAGGTCACAGGCCTGCCGGTGCCGGGCCTCCCAGGGCTCTATCCCTAGGGTCTCTAACATCTCCCCACTCCCCAGCCGCCGCTGGCTGGGTCCCGGCTAGGGAAGGGAAAGAATTTATTAGGGAGACCCGGTTGCTGTGGGGGGGGCAGGTGGGGCACAGGGGCCTCTGCAGCAGGACAGGCCTCGGGCCTGCACACGGAGGGGGCGGGGGGGGGCGGGCTGCAGGCCGCGGGGCGGGGGGGCGGGCGGGGCGGGCGGGGCTCTGCGGTGAAGGCCCGGGCGGGGCGGGCGGGGGCGGGGCCGGGCGGGCGGGCGGGCGGGGGCGGGGCACCGAGGCGGGTGTCAGGTGCGCGGGGTCCGAGTCCCGCGGGGCGGCCCCGACCCGACCCCGGCCCGACCCCGACCCCGACCCCGACGCGACCCGACCCCGGGGCGGCCTCCGCGGTGCGGGCGCGGGGGAGGGCCGGGCCGGGCGGCCCAGGGCAGGGTCTCCTTCGGGGCGGGGCCTCGTCCTGCCGCTCGGGGTCGCCCGGCCCGAAGGGGGCGGGGGTCGGCGGCGGGGCGGGGCGGGGGCGGGGCCCGGGGTCCCGGGGTCCCGGGGTCCCGGGGCCCGCGCCCCTCACCGCACTCTTCTTGGTCACCATCTTGTCCAGCCTGCGGGCGATCCGCGCGATCTCCTCCTCCTTGCCCATCATCGCCTCGGGGGCAGGGCCCCCAGCGCCCGCCGCGCCAGCCTCGGCCTCCGGGCCCGGACCCCTGCCCCGCTCGTCGTCGTCGCCCGCACCCGTCGCAGCCGACGCAGCCCCGCCGCGGGCGGGAGACCCTCCGTTCAAACCCCCGGCCCCCGCGGTCGCCGCGCTGCTCCCTGGGACATGTAGTTCCCGCGGCCGGCAGCCTCGCGCGCGCTCGCCCCGCGCTGGACCACAAGCCCCAGAAGACACGCGGCTTCGCGTGGCTTTCTGGGATGTGTAGTCCCGCCGCGGGCCGCCGCGGGAGGCCGACGCGGACGGCCGACTCGCAGTCCCACAAGCGCCCGCGCGAGCCGGTGAGCCGGCGGAGGGCGCTGCGGTAGCGCGGTAGAGCGGGCGTCCCTCCCGGACCCTCCGCCCGAGCGGCCCGTGGGCCGGCTCCGTGGGGCCCGCGAAGGCGCGTCCGGGTCCGGCCGTCCCCTTCTCCGCCCTCTTGGAGTCCTTCTCCCACCTAGCGCTGTGCTGTCCCGGGACAGCCGCGCCCCGCGGGAGACCCCGCACCCCACCCGCGCGCGCCCCCACCCGCACCCCGCGCACCCCCACCTCCACCCCCATCCCGCGCGCCCCACCCGCACCGCGCGCCCCTAACCCCCACCCCCGCACCCCCACCCCGCGCGCCCCACCCGCACCGCGCGCACCCCCCACCCCCACGCGCCCCCCACCCCCGCACCCCACCCGCGCGCACCCCCACCCGCACCCGCGCGCACCCCCACCCCACGCGCCCCAACCCCCACGCGCCCCAACCCCCACCCCCGCACCCCCCACCCTGCGTGCCCCTTGCGCCCTCTGGCCCACATGCGCCCCGAGCGTGGAGGGGGCTGCAGCCGGAATGCAGGGTCTGGAAGAGGCCAGGGCCGGTTCCGGAGGTGCCAGAGGAGCCCGAGACGCCCCGGGGCAGCTGCCGGGGGTGAATCCCGCGCTCTGCACTTCACACCGACCGCGGACCGTTGTGCCTCAGTCTCCCCATCTGTGAAAGGAAGGTGGTCGTGTCGTCCGCTCACGGGGCTGCTGCCCGGCCGGCAGGTGGTGAAGAGCGGAGAACAGGGCAGGAGCATGTCAGTGGTCACCTTGGCTGCTGGAGCTCCTGCGAATGCCCACCGCGCCCAGGTGAGGGTGGCCTGGCTGCGGGGACAGCAGAGGAGCGTCCCCTCCAGACCCCGCCCCCTTCCAGGTGTCCCCGTGTGCCCTACAGCGGGGCTGGGCGCGGTACAAGGCAGGAGACGGATGTCTGTGTCCTGGGCCCACGGCCACTGACATGCGGGCAGGTGTGAGACCGGGCGGCAGAGGGGAGGACCAGACACCTGGGCTGCCAGGCCGCGAGCTCTCGGCGGTGCTGATCCGACGGAGCTTCCCAGCAGCCAAAGCGGAGAGGACAGCGTGGTTACTTGTGAGGTTCCTTAGTCATTCTAGGAAAAGCAAGAACTCCTGAGAGTGAAGTGAAGGCTTTCCGGGTCGGAGGCGGGCACCCTGTGATGCTGCACACGTCACCGCCAGTTTGCACACCAGCTCTGGTTGTGCCCGGCACCGTGAGCTGGGGCCATAGCTCAGACCCACCCCAACCAAGCAGGTCTTTAGGGCCAGAATCCCGTGGCCTGAACGTGTGTGCAGCCTCCAGGGTCTGGGGACACTTGGGAAGCTGGAGCCACACACCAGGGTCAACCTGCTCTGGGCAAGACCAGCAGCTGGCTGGGGTCCCGTGAAGCAGGAGCCAGCCAGAAGCCCGGAGAAGGCGGCGGGGACTCGCGCTGGCCCCCGTCGCCCACAGGGCGCTGCCCGGGAGAGAGGCCGCCCGGCTGGGCCTCAGACAGACGGGGTGAGCTGATCTGAGGATTTCTCGGAGCAAACTCCCCGTCGTGCCGAAGACCTCCAAGCACCACAACTGGGCATCCCAAGCTGCTGGGCTCGGCCACGGCTGCTGCCCGGGGCTGCACCGCATGGGAGCACGCACAGACGCGGCCAGTGGGGAGCAGAGCCTCCAGCCCGTACCCCTGGATCCTTCCCGTCGGCCTCCAGTGGAAGCGTGTGGTTCCTCGGGCTGCGAATGAAGCAACGACCCACGTCTCGCGGCAGTGCCAGGACTGAGCACAGCAAAGACCAGGGCCCCTTCCCGCCACTGCTGTCCTGCCCGTGGCCCAGGCGCTGCTGCCCGCACCTGCAGCTTGGGTCGGGGCGCCTGGCTGGCTCCCACCGGTGAGCGTCTGCTTCGGCTCCGGGCTCGATCCGGTCCCGACGTCCTGACGTCCAGCCCTGCTCGCGGGGAGCCTGCTTCTCCTGCTCCCTCTGCCCCTGCTCTCTCCTCTCACTCTCAAAAATAACTAAAATCTTTTTTTTAAAATATGTATTTATGATAGACATAGAGAGAGAGAGAGGCAGAGACACAGACAGAGAAGCAGGCTCCATGCAGGGATCCTGGCGCCGGACTGGATCCCGGGACTCCAGGATCCTGCCATGGGCTGAAGGCAGGTGCCAAACCGCTGAGCCACCCAGGGATCCCCTCAAATAAAATCTTGAAGGAAAAAAAGAGTGCTTGGGTTTCCGTATCACACAATTTAGGAAATACTTTGATAACCCGTTTCCTTTGCAACCCTATGAATTTTACTTTCTGCCCACTGCATGGCACCCACGTAAAGACACGGAAGGGAGCGCGAGCTGTCCACTAAGAACCCAGGCCTTCCCCGCCACCACCGCGGGGGACTCCTGGACAGCCGCCTTGGGCCCTTGTCCCGCAGGAGAAGCCACGTGGCCTCCACCTCCAGGGGCTCAGGGATGGGCCGCGGAGGCCGCTGGATACCTGGCATGTCCTGGCACATCTGTATGGAGGCCCCTGAGCTTGCAGATGAGAGGAGCCCAGGGCACCGGGGCCCTGCAGGGCGATGCCCAGGAGGCGGCCCCCCACTAGAGCAGTGCCCAGCAGAGGGCGGGGCTGCGGGGCTGCCACGGGGCATCGCAGGAGTCTGGCCCAGGGTGATGGGGAAGCCGGAGTGGAGGGAGCAGGGAGGGAGCTCCCAAGCTGGAGACCTGGGGCCACAGCCCCTCCCCCGTGACAGGAGCCCTGAGCCCTGGCACCCATCCGCGGGTGGGGTGGGGCCCTGCAGTGCAGTGGGAAGGGGGGGGGACTGGGGCCCGGATCACTCCGCGGCCGTGTGGCCCGTGATGAGCAGTGGCCTGTAGGTGGCGGGCGGGAGCCACAGGCCGGCGGCCAGCCGGGCACCCAGCACCCCCCAGGAGGTCCGGCGGGGACATACTGGGCCCTGAGGAGGGGCCCTCACCTGTGGGACCGCAGGTGGTCCCATCCTTGGGGGCTCCGCCTGGGGCCACACTCAGCAACCCCAAAACTGTCAGCCTT